GGTTGCCTGGGCTTTGAGCAGCAGTGAAACAGAGAGGGAGAGATGTTCTCACTAGAAATGGGACTGCTGCCTCTGTGTAGTGCACCGAATTGTCATGAGAAATAACACGAGTGTCTAAACTAATCTTCATTTTAACCCCAAACTCAAACTGAGTCTGAGCTTTTTAAACAAGATTTGTTTTAACTCTACTGTGGGACTTTTCTTGGACCTTCTCCAGTTTTGTATTACCTTGTGCTGCTGCATTAAAGCAGGAGAAAGGTTGGGCAGGGTGTACCTTCCTGGGCCCGCAGCCAGGAAGGAGGAAAATACAGGGAGGGCATTTGCTTTTCAAAAGCTCCTAGGCTAGATTAGAGATTGAGAAATGCGAATAATCTCACTCAAAAAAGTACATCTTTCAGCATCAGACCTCAAAACCTTTTGTGTATTAGCCAATGACTGCTTGCTTATACTTCTGTTGTTAGTGCTTGATGTGCTAGCGTTTTAGAGTAATTGAAATATCCTAATTTATACTCTTCAAAACTCCAGGAATTCCTGCCCCTTCTCTACACCAGAATGTCAGGTGCTTTTTTTGTGCATTTTTTAGTTATTTTCATCAGTACTAAGCAGCACCTGCCCTTAATCATTTTTAAAATAGGAGCTGTTTCAGCATTTTTAACTAATTATTTCAAGTTATAGCATGTCAATGTAAATTATTGTTTTATAATATTGGTGCATATGCACAAAGAAAAGCCCATACTTTCTAAATAAAATTTGAAACTTCAACATTTCCCTAAACTTTCCCTAAGTTCATTTTTCCCTAAACAAGCAATATTTAGATTTTTTTCAAAAAAAAAAAATCTCTTACAGGCTTGTGGGTTTATGCTTTTTAAGTATCAAAATTTTCCATAAAGTGAAAAATCTAATTTCATTTAATCAAACTGTTAGCGATGGAGATTGTAGGCAGCTTTTTAGACATCCTAGGGCCAAGACACTCATGTTGTTGAAGAGAGCCATTCAGATATTTCCAGATACAGCTCAGATAAATCACCTTCCCTGGACACCTTGTTGGCAGGGCGGAGGACGGGTATGGTTTGCTTCCTCTGCAGTTAGGAGCTGCAGCTCTCTTCTGGTACTTGACAAGTAGTATTTTTCTGATAATTTGGGATTTTTAGCAGGTACTTAGTACCCGACTGAATTATCTCACAACAACTTGCTTTGGCAGGTTTTGTGAGCTCTGCAGCCTGCCACTTCCACAGCCTGGAAAGGCAAGTGCAGAATAAGGAGGGCAGCTGGGACAACAGTTTCAATGATACCAGGGTTTGATGAGAGGGCAAAGGGAGAAGAAACCAGTAAGTGACCTCAGCTCACTCTTTAGGATATGGTCTTTTCTGTCAGCTATTGGGAGTTGTATTTTAGTTAATTCGGAGAAGCGGGGAGCTGCTGAGGAGCAGAATTAAGCTCCATGCACAGGGTAGCATGTTGGATGGGTAAGAGACTGGCGCAGTATCTGTTAGCGTGCGTATTGTGACAGCTCTCCCCGTCGGACAAATGTTGCCTGAATCCCGGTGTGAAACTGCTTGAAAGAGCCTGCCTGGTGCATCCCTGGCATCGCAGCACAGCGCGGCCAGTGGACACATCAGCCCTGCGATGCCTGCCAGGCACACGGGTGCCTGGCTCACAGGTGCCATGGGTTATTTGCTGGTGAGCCAAGAGCAGGCGCCTTTTGTTTGCTTTTCTGCTACTGGAAAGAGGGAAACAGGCGGAGATGTGACAGCTCATGACAGTGAGAGGGAGGTAGAGTTGCCTGCATTGGGAAAAAAAATAGCCACTTTCACAAGAGTGAGTGGTTAGAAAAACAAAAAATAAGCATTTCAATATATTACAAACAAAATTATCTGCCAAAAGGGCAAGATAATTATCTTAATGTGATTTTTGACCAAGATAAATATATCTTATTTTATAAACTGGGTAACAATTTGAATCTTATGCAAAACCTAGAAATAAATCTAAAAAATATGATAATGTAATAAAATCGAAATTATTAGCAGTGCAAGTGCCATACTTGAGGCAGTAAAACCTTTTAAGTTCCAATGGAAAATAGGCTAGTAAAACTGGAGTAAGTTACTCTACTTTAATCACTTGATAAATAGCTACAATGTTTGGAAGAATTGATAGTGTCATTATAGCAACATCCCTTTTTATAAACAGCCTGGTGCTGATTTGATTCTAATTGCTGCCAGAGGAACAGTATCCGAGTAGTGTTGCTCCAGCAGTGTAACCTGCGGGGTGAGCGGGAGGGGGATTAGCTGCCTGAAATGAAGCAATCGCATGTTTTTCTAAGGCATGGATTCTAATTTCAGGAGCGCTGGAGGAGGCTGAGTAAATTCAGTAGCGGGAGAAACTACAGGAAAAATGCTTAAGGAAGAGAAACTATAAAGTAGACTTAATAGGCTCCTCCATGTGCATGAAATAGTAGAAAACCAGTGAAAGAAATGGCGAGGTTTTGGATTGAACACTTGCTTGCTTTCTTAGCCAGAAAGGTTCTCCCAGTGGGCTGGTGCAGCCCCCTTGCTGAAACACAGCTCCAGCTTCCCTGGTTTCAACCTCTGGTCTGCCATTCACCCGATGGTCTGGTGGGAGCCCCTTTACATAAATGGCTTTCCATTTTGGATGCCTTCATTTTTTACAAGTCCAGCCTCAGATGCTGACGGTGTAATTTTTAAGGCCTTCTTAATAATTAAATATGGCTTCTTCCTATACTTGCGGGCACTGCATCCTAACTTTGGTGCCCATGAATGCACCTAGAACTGAAGACTAATTTCACAGATTTGATCCTTAGCAATTCTGTGCTTCAGGTCTTCCTCTGCAAATCCGGGATTTGCCCTGTGTCAGCCTGCAGAGCTCTTCTGGAGCACCAGCGCTCTACTGCTGACTGCTATAACGTTTCAGGGAAAGGAATTTGCAGTTGTCCAGGAGAAAAGTCTCTAGAACGCATGCTTCTAGGCCGGTTCTTCCTCCATAAACTAACAAGAAATTGTTTTATTTTGTAAATGGTAGCCAGAAAAGCAGGGTACCATACATTTAATATTTTTTTCTTGTTAGCGACAAACACAAGGATCAACAGAAATGCAAGAGGATGAGGTACTTAGCTTTTTACACAAATTGTTTGATAAGGTTCTCCCGTAAAGACTGTGGGCTAAAGGTGATGGGTGAAATATGCAAAATAGCTTGTTGAAGAAAAAATTAGTTCAAGTGGGACTGAATGGCTCAAGAGATTAGTGGTGGGATAATAGCTTTTCTCCATTTAACTGGTAGACCAGTTCAAATCAATTCTAGCTCTCTAGAGACTGAAAGGTGTTACTATCCAGTGACTCCTTCATAGTTATTTGAAGTGATTTTTCAGTCTCAAACCTATCCTTAGTTGCAAGGAAATAATCCCCAACCCAAGTGGCACTGAATTATGTGGTACTAATTGTTGTCTCCTTCCCCTAAAGATGCACAACCCTCAAGGCTGTGCATAGGAAGGGCAATTTTTGTATTTGGTGTTATATTGCTGGTCAGAAATGTGTGTTTTCCATGAAACGGACAGGTTGCGCGAAAGGAGTGTGAGCAGGATACAGCGTGAATTTTTTTCTTTACAGAACGGTTTGGTTTGTTCTTTTAATGGGGATTTCTTGGAGAACAGGGCTACCTTTAGCTTGTGCACAGAGCTGCACCTGTCCTGCAGTGCACAAGCCTGCCTGCTGCCTGGAGGCTGTATCAGGACTTTCCCCTACATAAATGTAAATCATGAAGCAGAGCCCCAACTTAGGAAACAGCTATTGGTCATAAGTAACAACTGGAAAATTCAAATTGGCGGCTTGCCCTCCAGGTTTATTCTGAAGCATCTATTTCATGTGTGAAGCTGGAGCAGTGAAGTGATGCTAGAGTTGTGCCAACTTACAGCAGCTCAGAATCTTGCCTATCAATTTGATTTTGAAAGCTTATAACAAGTAAAATAGCAAACATACATTGATTGTTTTGCCAAATGTAGAGATTAAGCAAACAATAAGAAGCAATGTCACCAAGCTGAGAAGGATTTGGATCTTTTAGTTGGCTATAACAACAAGTGTAGAGCTAGTGAACCACAGCACAGTTCATATTATTCAGTGTACCAAAGAAGAAAGAGACCTGTGATTATTAAAGAAAAATCCCAGCAGCTGTGTGTAGGGCTGCTTGGAAAAAAGCAAACAGGATATTATGACGTTGTAAAGGTGTCGGAGAATTGAAATCACATGGCTGTAGTCAAATTTTTTATAGGGCTAATGCAATATGGATTCAGTTGCAGTGGCCTTGGAGGAGAAATTGTATTTTTGTCTTAGCCCAGACAGCTCCAAGGTTAAGAGTGCTCATCAGGAGGGAAGGCTAAAAGGGTTAAGGAAATAAGATGCAATAGAGGTGACCTATGAGAACTTTCATTATTATATGGAGCCTTGATGAGAGAAATGAGAGGAATTGCTCTCCATCATGAAAGGCTGAAAAGTCGAGGGAGCAATCACAAATTAATCTATTAAGAATAAGTAGGATGTTGAACAGTGTGACTGAAGAGGATGGAAATATATGGAATAAACGGCAATGTAAAGTCACAGTGATTTCTAAATACATCCTAAAAGACATCCTCGTATAATTTTTCAGTGAAATATGGATATATATATACACACATATATATATGATATATATATATTTATTTATAAATATGAGAAAAAGTTTAGGCAGACAAAATGGTTCACTTTCTATTCAGCTACTTTCAGTATTCCTAATGGCCTGGCCTGGATGAGAAGTTCTGTTCTGATTTGTGTGGATTTAACCAGAATAGTGTGCCAGGATTTTTTTTTTAAAGACACACCAGTAAAATGCCTCACAAGCAGTTTTCCGTGTGGTGATTTTCCTGTTTTGTTGTGACATTTTTAACTTGAATTTAGTGTTTATAAAAGGTGCTATTTGACAGCACTGGGTAACTGAAAGCCTCTTATTATTGACAGATCACGCACACTCAAGGCTGGGGAAGTTTCTCTCTGTCAGCCTGGTGAGGGACACCCACACAGCCTGAAGGGACCAACTTCCAGGAGGAAAAATGGTAAGTCCATGTCAGTCAGTCCAATCTTATATTAAATGTTGCTGAGTGATTACTTTTAAAGATCTCACATCCAAAGGATTTAGAGAGGCATGAAGAGTTACCCAGCTGACAGGGCTGCATAGTTTATTTCTTCTATCTCCTGGTAGTGGCTGCGGCTTTCCAGGGAGTTAATGCTTTGCCCACCAGTGGCTGGAGTGCTGCTTGACATAGATTATCAAGCACCTTTTGATAAAGCTGATCCTGTAGGATGGAGCTACCTGTCACTGTAGTACTTGGGAAGCAAAGGTGTGTTGTTTGCTCAGTACCAGTCCCTGATGCTGATCTCTAGGCCTCAATGTTAATCGTTTCACAGAGCTCTCATAGTTTCAGACTTCTACCTTTGCCAGCTTATTATAACCTAGAAAGATGAGACGTGACTATGCTGAGATACAACCCCCAGTGATGGCACTTCATAATACTGTATAACTGGAGGATTGCTATTGTAGGCAGAGAAAAAGGCAATAAAGCAGCATTGATATCCTGCCTGCCCTCTTATAGGAGTTATTGAATCAAACCTACCTGAACTGCCAGACAAACAATTTGCAGCTGCAGTCTGAAGCCTGACAATGACACAGAATCAAAAAGAAATAGTTGGAGTGCATGGGCTTGTGAACTCCTCTGTGACCCACCACAGCAGGCTCCCTAGGACTGGTCTCCTCTTTCTGGTCCTCTCCCTGCACGATTCCTTCTGTCTACATTCCTTTTCCTCTCACTCTTGTTTTCTCTCCCAGCTCTAGTCATTTTCAGTTCCTCACACCTTTCCCCCTCCTTTTTTCTCCTCTCTCTCCTCGCATCACCATTTCCCTCTGACACCCTCCAGTATACCTCCTTCCTGTTGTTCATGTTTTTTCTTTGTGTATTTCATTGCCTTCTTCTGTTTCTCATTTTTTCTGTTGCCTTAATTATTTTCCTTGTCTTTGGTTGATTTCATTTTTCCCCATGTTTCCCATAACCTCTCATATTCTCCCCTCCCTGCTGCATTTCTTTTCTATTTAATTTTCTTCTCCATTTTACTACCCTTTTTTTCCCTTTTTCTGCCAATTCTTCTACCTTCATTTTTCTTGAGACATTTTCAGCCAGCAGTTGAGTTCCATGTTGCTCTTCCTCCTCAGATGTCAGCATTTAAACCTTTCCTGTGCACTAGGATTTCCAAAGTGCCAGTCCAGCTCAGCTCAGGAGAACTGATGTGGTTTGGCTCTAATGTCTGTGAAGTGAGATACTGCAGAAGCCACCATAACAGTAGCACTCACAAATGTTGTGTGGCTCATAACTTTCGCTCATGGTTGAATTCAAAACTTACCGAATTAATGGAATCTGGACTGGACCTGCAAGCACCATCTTCCACACTCTCAGGTCTTACCAGACTTCAGACTTTTATTTCAGTAGAAATCTCAACACCCTCAGTTTCTTATAGAATGCAGTTTTGTCTTGGCTCAGGGCTTTTTTTTTTTTTTTTTTAATTCTAAAGCACATACATTTACAAGTGTTTGTAGGGTCTAATGGAAAGATGCCGTAGTGTGAAATATTTTCAGGCTGAGTTACAGAAAAGAGTCACTTTGTAGTTCTTGCGTACCCATGACAATTCACTACGCTTCTGAACTTTAGCTATGCAGTCTTCTCTAGACTGGCAGGAAGACGGACCAGCAGATAAGTCTTCATTTTTTGGGAGCATCATAAGTGACAGGGTTGGGGTGGTTGTTGTTTTAAGTTCCCTGGTTCATTTAGTTTTTTTGTTCCCTTTCTCCACCCACTTCAGCTTTTGAGCATTTTGATTTGTTTTTCTTTACATTTTCTCATTTCCAAATGAGAAATCCAAAAAATGATTGCAATTATTTGTCTGTTATATGTTCTGTGAGAGCACCAACACAAGGCTAAGGCTGCCTCTCATTGGGAGGCTCCTAACCAGGCCAGCTCTTGCTGCTGGTCTCACTGCAGAGGCAGGGCAGTCCCGTTCCTAGAGAGCTCTGAAGCTGAATAAGTTACCTGAGAAAGGAAGCAGAGTGCTCATGGCCTCACCGCTAACCACTGGCAGATCCGGCAACCAAGGTGAGCCTGGCTCTTATTCACAGGATGCTGTCTCTCCTCGTTATGTATATTATGAGAGAGAAAAAAAATCTTCCATCCTCTCCCATTTTGCCCGCTTCCTCCTGTCTCTCTGGTTGCTGCTCCTGTGGAGTTCAGTGCTGGTGAAAATGGAAAGAAAATCAGTTCTTCTGTAAGCCAACCCTTTCTGCTCTGATTGGACTTTTCTCCTTTTGTCTGCTTCTTTATTTGATTTAAAACCTTAAACCCCTTGAAGCTTTTCCATTAAGAAGTTGAGCACAGTTTGGAAGGGTGTGGGCGAAAAGGCCAGTCAGAGCATTGCCTAAGAAGTCCTAGTTTATTTTTAGCTAATGGAAGACTAGGACTGACTGGATTAGCCCGACTCTATGAGTACTTGATGCAAACTGCTATAAACACATCAAAGAGGAAGAGTTAAGTATTCTTTCTTTTTCTTTCTCTCACTCTCCCCTTTTTTGCCCTTTGCCGTTTGGCTCCCCGTAACTGATATTTGGGACACAGCAGTGCAGATGCCTAGGCAGGTTCTAGCACTGGTCAATACAGAATTAAATCTCCCAGTCCCCCCTGCTGTTTTGTATTTGCCACCTGATGGCAATGGATACCTAGGAAGACCAGGGCTAAGTTTTTAAAGCTTTAGACTGGGTTTTAGCCATGTGACATCTATTAAAGCAGTTGGGAGCCAGGTGGCTAAAAACCAGTACAATTCTTTGTAATGGTACCCCTGAGAGCGCCCATCTCCTTTTAGCACTACTATTGATTCGGCAGTTCTTGACTTTGAGGGACAAAAATTGGTGTGTGCATCAAGCTTCTTTTCTTCAATTTGGCCTGGTTTGAAATTAATTGTCCACCTTGAGCCATTTTTGTAAGCAGCCTTAAGCGTCAATAAATTTCAGTGCGACTTGATTTTTCTATCGCCTTTTCCTGTGGAAACTCATTGTTTCCTAGTCTTCTCTAGGACATCTCCACAGCAGTTGGGTCTTTTTCCCCATCTCCCACATTGATCTCAGTACGTTGTCCAACATGATTGCCCAAGATCCGTAGAATGCTGGGGGCTGCAGAAGGGGCAGAGGCTTGCAGTACTGAGGCCAATGGGTATTTGGTTTCCAGTAGAGCAGAAGATATTCGATGAAGTAGGCCATGCTGTATTGTAGAATACTGTGAAGATCCTGCCTCGTCTTCTCTGAAATGGTGTGGTGTTCTTAGGGTGATCGTATAAACCATGAGTCAGCATGTCCTTCCTGATTTCAGAAATTCCCCATGAACTTTTGACATTTACTAAGGACGGAAATGCCAAACAAAGGTACTTGAATGTATAAACTGTGTTTTCGAGAAGGTGAAAATAAATACATAGAAATGAGGAAGATAGTTCCCCAACCCCCTTACTTTCTGCAGTTCCTTTCTAAAATGTTTCCTGTTCCTCTTTATTTTTCTAACGTGTAGGAACATTCTTCAGCATGTGGTGTCATCACTTGTGGGGAGAGAGGACATACTCTGCATGAGCAGTTTAGTGCATCATAATTATTTATAGGGGGTTCCCTATCTGTTTCTTTTGGGTGTTTTACAGTGAACTGCTAGGTCATGCTAAGTACTGCCCGTCATAAATGGCTGGCATTGAATAGCTTTTTCTTGCACTAAGACCCAAAGAGAGCACTGGGCTGCACCAGCATGGAAAAAAAGCGATAGAGCCAGTCCCAAAATTCTGTCCATTTCAGCAGCTAAATAAATAGAGTGTGAAGACACGGGCCTGCTGCAGCATTGCATCTCTCTGTGCTGCTCGTTGCTGCCCTGTAGCCTTCTTGCCCCTCTGAGTAAGCAAGCCAGAGAAGGTGATATTTGACATTTCTGTGTTGCTGGGAGACCTTCTATGGGAAGTTTTGTTCTGGTATGGGATGCAGACAAGAGAATTTGAAACTTCTGATGGAAAGTGTGTTCAGAAACATTTGCTTCTGAAAAATGAGTGTTTCTTATTCCTATTTTTGTTCAAAGTGGGCTGAAGCCTTGAGATGTCACAGGAACCCTAGGAAGTCCATTTTCTTCTCCTTGTGAGATCTTCTCCTAGTGATCTAGGAACCCCACAAGCAGTTTTGTAAGAGATTCCTGCCTGTGTTGAGATGCCCAAGATGTTTGTGTGAAAAGGTGCAGAGCACAAGCACATCAGAAACATAAATAGTGAAAAATCTAAGCTGGGTCACCCGATCCTATGTAAAAATAATACAACTTTGAAGGCCTTGCCAAACCAATGAAGCATATGCAACTATTCCCCTATGCACACATACTTAGTGTTTCTCTAGATACTCAGAAGTCAGCATGGGGGTATCTGAAAAGTAAAAGTATGTGATCTTTAAGTTGTTGCTGTTGCAACAAATCGCATATATATGCTGTTTTACATCTGCAGTGAGTGTCATGTCACAGAGTCTGTGATTTATAGAGCTTTATACTTGTATTGAAGCCTCCTCTGTTTTAACTGAGGTTTGCCACTGGTGTTTTTCCACAAATATTTAAGTGAAAATAGCTCCTTCTGAGTAGAACTGAAAGAGATATTCTCCATGTAGGTAGCACTTGCCATATGGGAGGTATCACAGACATAAAAATACTGAAGGCCAGAAGGGGAGCCCGTTCTTCCGGTGAGTTCGCCAACACAGCTCAGGGTCTGTGAGTCTCGCTCTGTTCTGCAATGTTATTTCCATTTTCTGGATAGATACATGGGGCCAAGGAGGTTGAGAGAATAGGGCCATGCTTTGATAGTGAAAGAGGAGAATGTGTGTATAACTCTTTTCAGCTGGCATTTGATTCTTTTGCGTTATTCACTTCTTTAGAGCTGAATTGCTAGCCGATTTTCCAGATGTAGTGGGGAGGAGGAGCAGAGATCAATAGTGAAAGGCGAAATTAATAACAAAATC